GGGCAGTGAGAAGGCATACAGGGCTAGAGACAGGGGAAAGGAAGAAGGGAAGCAGGAGGAGCAAAAGAAAGGAAGGTGGCATGGGGTAAAGCAGAGCAGAGGAGAAATGGGATGAGAGAAGGAGGGAAAGTGAGGAAAAATCCAGGAGTGGAACAGGACTCTGTTGTGAGGAGACAGGTGAGGTTACAGGGTTTGAAAGTACAATGGAAAGACTAGAACAAAAAAGGCTCTTTATCCTACCTCGATTTCTGACTTGGGTTGATCTGTGTTCCAAAAGCACCAAGTGTAGTGGGAGAAAAGAGTTCCTCAGCTGCAGATGGGGAAGGAAATGGGCACTAAGTCATCCCTAGCTCGGCTTCTGCTGCCGAGGCATCCCATCCTGACCAGAGCCTTGTTCTGTGCCTTCTGTGCTACAGCACAGGACAAGACGGATCAAACAGACCTTGGGGCAGCCAGCGCCTGCTCTAATCTGGACTGGCTAAAGTAAAAATTTCCCTGGCTAGAAACATTCCCGGGACCAGCCACAGGTTCAGCTCGCAGGTGTGGTTGCATCTTTCTAGATCTAGTGCCATGATCAGCCTAGTTGAAACCAGTGCTAGCTTCCCGGGGTCCTGGGTCCCGAGTGAGCGGAGGAGATGACCTGTGAGTCAGCTGCTTCTTGGCTGTGCAAGGTTCCTGTTCCTTGGGCCATCGCGTCTGGCGGTCCTGTGCCAAAGCCCCCCTGTGCAGCAGTGGCTCCCTGGTTTCTCAGATCTGGTGTATTTAGGGACGTGTGTAAAAAGGCAGTTCACCGGAGCAGCTAGGCCGGGCACCTGGTAAGTTTAACGTAACCCTTGAGGAGCTGGGCCTGGAGAGCCGTGCTGAGGGCCTGCATCCAGGCTACGCTAAGCAGCAGCCCGTGGGGCACCCTCCTGGGAGAGCGGCTGTCCTGGCTGTGGTGCGTTAGCAGGGCCGTAAGCTCTGTGTCTGTTCTTCCTCACTCTGTAGCACCCGAGCAGGTGACAAACGCTCCAGACAGAGAAACAGCCCAGTCCCCATCGAGGAAGGAAGAAGTGCTTAAGAGCGTGTTTACCATCAGGAGTGCCTGGGGAACTCGGAAGCCCTGTAAGCTTGGCTCTGTCTGTCCTGGGTGGGGCGGTGGCATGGAAAAGCAGCAGCAGAGAGCAGCAAGCAGGGCACAGTATCTGTCTGCTGGCACTGGGCAGACTTTGCAGCCCCCTGGGGAATTTGCATCTTTTTTCTTTTTCCTAAATTTACACTGGAAAATGTAGACCTAGACCAACTCCCTCCCTTTTGTTGCCAGCCTTCTTTCACCTGTGTTGTTGCCTCTGAGCTTCGTGAAAGCACCTTTCTGTTTTTAGCAAGCAACCAGAGTGGCCTTGGGGGTGCAGCTCAGGCAGGGAAGGGAGGCAGTGGCAGAGACCGGCTCCTGGGGCTGTGTTCAGTGGCCACCCTTGATTTTTGGGTCCTCAGCGCTGAGGGTTGATACCGCAGCAGCCCTGGGAAGATGCTGTGCCTGTGCAAGCAAGGGCAGGGGGCTCCCCTTGCTCCTTATCCAGCTCAATCAGGCATGCCAAAATTGAGGGGGGGAGGGCACTTATTTAAAAGAAAAAGGAAGAATTCCTCTGTGCCTCACATTCCCCTCCGTAAAGCGGGTACCAGCAGTTCTGACACCGCAAGAGCTGTTTTTCAGAAGAGGTACAGTCGCGCTCCGCGCTGGGTGCGGCAGGAGGCTGTGTGTTTCTGCTTGTCGGGGGCTAATGTGTAATTTCTAATCATAGGCTCATATGTTCCTTTAATTATCACTGGCATCAAAACAGTGATTGAGTCTAGAGCCAGGAGTAGCGTCTTACCCGTCAGCTCTCCCTTCCAGAAGGTACGTTGTGTTGTCTCCGAGTCGTTCCTGATGCCGTATGTGACAGGCAGCCAAGACCCTCCTTAAGGAGGGGGTTTGCTACTGCATAAACCCCCCCAAGGCTCAGGCAGCTTCCCAGCAGCCCCACACAGCTGCTTACAGCTGCAGGGCCCCCCACACACCCCCCTCTCACACTGGCAGAGGCACCTTGGCCGCCTCTCGTAGTCCCACAGGAGCAAAGCACGGAGGTGCTCTTGCAAACTACGTTAAGCACAGATTAAGCACGGTGACGGGGCGACGGACAGCTAGCGCCAGCCTGTTCAGGCCCCTGCAGAGGAAGGAAACAGCTTTGCAGCGTTAACAGGAGCGGGGCCCGGGGTGCAGGGAAGTGGTGGTGAGCCACAGCTTGCCTGGGAGGGCCTGGGGCAGGGGTGGGGTGGCTTCCCATGCGGTACTTCATCTTTTGGGGAGCTCACCGGCTCTAATCTGCACCCACGCACCGTGTCGTCCGCAGCTGAGGGCAGGCGGGTTGTGAAGGCAGCTCTGCTTGGATAGAGAAAATAACTCAGGGCTCGATCACAGCTTCTTGTTCCTGCGATCGTGCCGGCACCATCTCGGTAGACGTGTCGGTGCCACCGCCCCACCTGTGTGCCCAGCTTTGTCCTGTTCCCCCCACGCCCCCAGCGTTTTACCCGAGACCAAGCTGTAAAGCGGGCGTCCTGGCTTGGGGTCGGACCAGGAGCTGGTGCTGAAGGGCGCCGTGTCCGAGCCCCAGTCCCTCCCCAGCCTGCCCGACTTTCTCCAGGTCCTTTTGGTGAACGGCCCCCGGTTCTGGCGGTGCAACCCCTCGTGTCCGCGGGCCCGGTGCTGCCAGGGGATGGTGGCAGCTTCTCTCCTGGCTGGGTTTCCGCAGGGCAAAGCCATGGCTCTGCCCTCCATGT